CCCCAGACATTGCCAAATGTCCCTGAAGAACAAAATTGCCTCTGGTTGAGAACTACTAATTTAAAGAAATGCACCCCCAGCCGGGTGCAGTGGTGCATACCTGTAATCCCAGTGGCTTAGGAGGCTGAGGCAGGAGGATCACAGTTCAAAGTCAGCCTCAGCAACAGCAAGGCACTAAGCAACTCAGTAAGACCTTGTCTCTAAATAAAATACAAAAAACAGGATAGGGATGTGACTCAGTGGTTGAGTGCCCCTGAGTACCAAAAAAAAAAAGAAAGAAAGAAAGAAAGAAAGAAAGAAAGAAAGAAAGAAAGAAAGAAAGAAAGAAAGAAAGAAGAAAGAAAGAAGAAAGAAAAGCACCCCAGAGCTAAGAGCTGAGAGGTCACACTCTTGACTAAAGGAGAGTCTCTTTCCCTGAGATCATCTTACATTCAACCACCTGTGCAACATTCTGCTCCTGTTTTTGTTTTCTTTTTTGGGACTGGGGACTGAACCCAGGAACCCAGAACACTTTACCACTGAGCCACCTCCCCAGTCTTTACTATTGCTTATTTTTTACTTTGAGACAGGATTTCACTAAGTGGCTTAGGGTCTCCCTAAATTGCCGAGGCTGGCCTGGAACTTAGGATCCTCCTTCCTCAGCCCCCTGAGTTGCTGGGTGACAGGTGTGTGCCACTGCACCCAGCCCAGCACTCTAACTTTTAACAAGGTAAAAGGAGGGACCTTTTACCTTGTTAAAAGTTAGCGGTGGTGTAGCTCATTTACCTAGCACACATGAGGTCCTGCTTCCAATCCCCAGCAGGGGGGGGGGGGACACGGACTTCTTTTAGGATATTTTCTTTGTCCTCAAAAAATGTTGAGAATGAAGTTTTGACCGCAGTTTTCCAAACCATGATCATCATGATAGTATCTCACTTTTAGTGAACATTTATTTAATAACTGCAGGTACTGTTCTAACAATTCCCCCACCCCCTTCAACTTGTAAAAGATGCATTTGGACCTCAGGTAGTTCCCAAAATGACCACAAGATGGCAGTCAGTAATAAGTTTCCGCTCAGAGCTGTTCCCTCGCCTGCCCCCAAACCAGATCCACAGGGAACTAATTTAAGATTTAGGGAGCCTGGAACTGATGACCGGGAGATAATAGGGTGTATTTCTACCCTGGTCTCAGGCATGATTTTCTTCTGAGTACCAGAAAACAAAAAATAAATCTGAGCAGATTTCTGGGTTCTGATTCCCCCACCTTATTTGGGGTGGCTGGAGTGGGAAGGTGGGGAACTGAGAAGACCTATGTCTTGGGGAGGAGCAGAGAAGCAGAGTTCCGAGGAGAATCAGCTCCACCACCGGTTACTTGATACAGGAATCATTTAAATCCCTCAAATACGGAGCTGTGTCCCCTCTCTACCAAGACTCCTCAGAAGCCCTGTTGCCTGGGCTTCTACATTCTGCCCGCCCCCATTCTCTCTAGGCAAGCCTGCACCCCAACACTGTCAAGATGACCGCCCCATCTCCTAACTGGCTCTCCGCCTTCACTTACCTGTCCTCTCAGTGGCTTTTGGCTGGCTGACCCTGCTCCCTCCTGAGAACAGATTTCTCTCTTGGTCCATGGGTCACCAGGACAGGCGCTGTGTCCATCCTCGTTCTCCTCCCTGACCTCCTCATCTTCCTGACCCCCAAACCCCGAGTGCTCCAGGCTCAGTCTTTGGTCCTGTCTTCCTCTTGGTCTCTCCCTCTCCCTGCCCACCTCAACCAGGCCGTCACTGAGAAGCCCCCTCTACAGCCCCAGCCTCTCCCCTGAGCTGTTTATGGAGGTGTTTATGGAGCTGCTTCCTGGGGGAGTAGACGGCCTTTAGCATTGCTCCCCGCTCTCCTCACTCCCTGCACGTGGCTGGACCAGGAGATCCTCTAATGACAAAGAGCACACAGCAAAAGGGATGGAGGTCACTGCCAAGATCAGGTCACAAAAGGTGATGAGTGCTGCTCCCTAAGCAAAGCCAGCTCCCGTGTTGGAAGGATCCCCGAGGAGAGGCTCAGGGGACTGAACTGAGGACAGCAGCCCACAAGGCACTGAACCCGACCCACAGCCCCCCCAATGAGCCTGGAAGCAGATCCTCCTCCAGTCAAGTCCCGAGGTAACTTCGACCCCAGCTGACATCTTGGCCACAAGCGAGAGAGCCTGAGTCACGCTGGTCTGTCCAAGGCCACCTCCGTTCCTTCCACAGAAGGAACAATTCTCCACCCAGCCACCAGAGGGAGACTGTTGGCACCTGAGTCACACCATGTCCCGCCTCTGTTCATTCAACAGAGTGCCCACAGCTCAGCACAAAAAACGCCCCCGATCTTGCCATGTCACCGGAGGGACTAAGTAACCCAGTTCCCTGCCGTGCCTCTGATCTCTGTCGTCCTTCCTTCTGCTCAGCCACACTGGCCTCACACACCCAGCACTTTCCAGTCTTGGGGCCCTTGCACTGGCTTCCTTCAGGTCTTACTCCAAAGTCCCCTTAGCAGACGTGCCTCCTGCTGACCTCCGCGAGCCAGCCTCTGCCTGCCCTCCCCATTCCTCTCTGACCCACTTTTCCTGCTTTTTATTATGACTTTTTTTAAAAAAAAAATTTTTTTTTTTTTTAGCCGAGCACGGTGGGGCACACCTGTAATCCCAGCAGCTCAGGAAGCTGAGGCAGGAGGATCGTGAGTTCAAAGCCAGTCTCAGCAACTTAGTGAGGCCCTAAGCAACTTAGAGACACTCTGTCTGTAGTAAAAGACAAAAAAGGGATGGGGATATGGCTCAGTGGTTAAGTGCCCCTGGGTTTGATTCCCAGTACACATATTTATTTATTTTAAAATTTTTATTGATTTCATTTTTCCCCCCTGGTGCTGGGGATGGAATCCAGGGCCTTGTACATGCTAGGCAAGCATTCTACTTTACTTTTAAAATTTTTTATTTTTTGGTACTGGGGATTGAACCCAGGGTTACTTTACCACATCCCCAGCCTTCTTTATTTTTAATTTTGATATGGGGGTCTCACGAAGTTGCTTAGGGCCTCAATTAAGTTGCTGAGGCTGACCTGGAACTTTTTATCTTTCTATCTCAGCCTCCCAAGTCAATGAAATTACAGGTGTGCACCACTGAGTTCAGCTTTATTTTATTTTATTTTATTTTTTGGTACCAGGGAGTGAATCCAAGGGCACTCAACCACTGAGCCACATCCCCAGCACCCCCACCCTTTTTTTTTTTTTTTTTGTATTTTATTTAGAGATAGGGTCTCACTGAGTTACTTACTAAGTGGCTGAGGCTGCCTTTGAACTTGTAATCCTCCTGCCTCAGCCTCCAGAGCTGCTTTATTTTTTATTAGCACCTATCACCTGCCTAACCATATATAGCTATCCCTCCCACCCCCAAAACATGGGAGCACCTTGCTATTTTCCTAGAGCAACGCCCAGCACATAACAGGTGCTTGATAAATACTTGAGGACACAGACCCTCGGCAGAACAAAGTGGCTGCTCGTCTCTGGTTTCCCAGCTGGTGAGAGGCTGCTCTTCCAGCATCTCCTCTTCCTACTCCTTTCCTCCCTCCCTCACTTCTGCAGTCCCTGGTGAGGAATCTAGAGCATTCCAGGGAGTTCCATATAGGGTAAGATCGAGGCTTCCTTATTCCGCTCCTTTCCCCACTCTTTCTCCTTTGCACCAGCCACTGACACTAGGAACACCACCGCCACCTCCAGTTCCTTCTCATCCAGTGTCAAGGAAGCCCTTTTAGCGGTGCAGGTGTCCCCGAGAAGGGTGACACTCAGAGCCCTCCCTCACCCTGACACGGTCCCTTGGGGAAGGCTCTCTAGCCCCCTGGGCTGCGTTTCTCCCACCGTGGATTGCCTGAGCTGGTGCCAGGCAGTCTCTTGGAAAGCCCGCCCTAGCCCATATTCCAAAGCCTCCCAGCCTGGTGAGGGGACAGCTCACAGGGGTCACTTGGCCCCAGCATGACAAGCACTGGAGGAAGCACTGGGGTGCACAGGGGCAGTCCCCAACTCTCAGAGAGTGGAGAGTCAGGGAAGTCCTCCTGGAGGAGGACACCATTAAGTCACCATTAAGACAGTGAGTTAGCCCTTAGGAGGGACAGGAGGAGAGGGGAGGGAGGAGACTGAGCAGTTGCAGATTCCCTGGGAGAGTGAGGCTCTCAGTGAGGTCTTATCAGACATTTCCACCTGCAGAACAGTGGGGTAAAGAGGAAGAAGTGGACAAGGAACTTCCCCAGGGAGAGAGGGGTCTCCCCTTTCCCACGCCCTCTGCTCTGAGGTGTCCATCGCTAAGTGTTTCTGAACGTCCTTCCGACCTGAGAGCCACCACCTGGAACTCCAGGCCTCTGCCAGCAGCTGTGACCCTTGGAGGACACACTGTGCTGGCCTCTCTCCACGGCTCCAGTATGTACACACAGCCCTGCACGGAGACCTGCTCAGGAGGGGAGGCCAGGGGATCCCAAAGGAGCCTCAGCAGCCCAGCAAGA